ACACAAGACTTCTTCATTTTTCATGAGTTCTTTTCCTCTAATACGTTCAAACACGCTGGCATGTTTCTCAGGGTCTTCTTCATCATCGATACCAACTTGAACCTTGACAATTTATTTTTGAGATTGGTCGTCGCCATATTCACTTCAAGTGGCTGTGGGAAAGGATTTTCATCCACTGCAATTTTCTTTTTGTCTTCGAACGTGATTCGTCCTGACTCAATAACGTCCAGTAAAACATGACGGAAAACCAGGCAATATTTAGTCATATGTAACCATTCATTATGTCATTTACAATATTTTTACCCTTAATTTGCTCAGGGCTTGGCGATTTATGTTTATCGCTCAACTTTATATGCTTATCCTTATACAGTTTGTCGAATATAAGGTCAGCCTTAGTTACATCGAACGAGAACGTTCTGCTCTTTTTGTTTTTTCCTTTTATAGGCTCATCTCTGGCTAAATCCCTAGGCTTAGCCATTATGGGGCAAGTATATGCATTCTCCTTGATTAGTTCGGCCAAACATATTTCAGTTTGATCGTAAAATTCATCATTTATAGTATGAACGCCAAAATTTGGGTCTTTGTAATAAGTCCCTTTACTAGAATTTTTTACTTGCTCTTCTTCTCTTATCAAACGTTCGTACATAATCACGTTCACACTAAGTTGGAACAGGTCAGGAAACTCCCTATCCTGGAACTTTTTCTTTAAGTCAAAACTTAAACAGTTTTGAGCAATTTTGACAAATTCTTTTTCAGGCAGGGGCACAAAACATTTACTCCTGACTGTTTTGAACCTTTGAAGGAAACATTCCGCCCATTCATTTGGCATTTGACGTAAGTTCGCCAAATCGGTCAATGTAACCTCAGATTCTGTTTATTTTTCCATATTACGGACGTTTCGTAAATTTACCTGTTCGACGACATCTTGTGTGAGTTCTCCAAGCAATGCATGCANCTCCAAACACCAATTGTCCCACCGGGCGTGCCAAATTGTTTCGCGCATTTTCGCTCGCTAACAATTAAAAAAGGGAATCAGACGATTGTGTAAGGGACAAACCTCTTGGAACAAAGTCTCAAAAATGGGTGTTTATTGAATATGAAGATTACAGTTTGGACGCGAACAAGATGCCTCCAAGGGGCGCAAACACACAAGTACAAGAGAATTGAAATAATTAAAGTTAATTTGAGAAAAAGTAAATTACATATTCTCTGTTTGAGAATGAATTTTGTTAGGGTCTCTTCGTTGTCTTCTTCTTTCTTTTATACGGTTTGAGCAGTTTTTAATCGTTTAGAAACTGCTTGTAACTACCCATTTCTTTCATAATGGTCGTTTGGCCAATAACTACCATGTGTAACTCCTATCACCATGTCCTCTTCATAACTGCTTGTCACCAACTCTCTCAAATCGTGGGGCGTAATTGTGATGTGCTCAAACCGCCTTAAATCGTGACTTTAGATAACAACAAGCTTTTGTCATCACTGGGACTCTGAGCGACTCAACATTTTTGGACGACAATTGGTCTTCCGCTCTGGGCGATTATAGGTTACTTCATTCGTTCAACATCTAGACGTTCTGTAGGCTTGGGCAACAACGCACCTTTGTTTTTGGGCTTTCATCATATTTAATGACATATTTGGTTGGACTTTTACCCTAATCTCTCTAAATGGGCTTCTTCTCTTAGGCCATTTCCTTTCTTGGGCCATTTGAATTGGGCTGTACATTTTGTGTGTCAACAAGAATATACCTTTATTGTCTTCTAGACATGTATAATATTTACTCTATTTCTTGGAAAATGAATAGCTGATCGAGAAAGCTAGACAATCTTCCCACTTTGGCTTAGGAGATTGGGATATGCAATCCATCTCCATAGAGAGAATGAAAGGTTAATAAATGATGGAATTTTAATACGAATCTTTACAAAAGTGGACACAACACACTACTAAAGGTTCCAACGAAATATTGGGTTACTCGAAATCATATACGCAAATATCTGTGGATATATTCAAGTCCATTTTATAAATGAAATGAAATGCTATCTCATGTACAAGCAAGGTTCGGACTCATTTACCTTAACGTTGTATCAATGACAAATCATTAGTCGCAAAAATATGTATCTTCTAAACTCTCTCATCCTACAGGTGATATTGGTCCAAGAGTTCTTTCCTATCTTTCGTTCTCCATTAAGTAGGAGGCCTTCAAAAAAAATTTGGAATCATCTAAAAGGATAATTTACACCTTAAACGTACACCTGGGGATGTCAGTGCCAAGATCGACAGGTTATATTCTGATTCAACATGAGGGCCATAGGTTGGGGACCGTTTGCACAAATATGCTTTTGGTGCATGCCATTAAGACAATCATGATTTTTATTTTTGTTTCTTTTTCCTTTTTATTGGGTAAAAAAAAAGTCCTGAGGAGATATCTTAAAAATAAAATTAAAAAATTGCGAAAATATCAGGATATGTATAAATATAACACCTTTTGGAGCAGTTATCTAGATATGGTACATATATACATATCCACATATATGCTAACATGATACAGTTACAAGGCTTCAAGAGTTCGTGTGTTCAACATTTTATTACCTTCTACATAAATTTTTGAAAAATCACATAATAGGAGAATAAAAATGAACAAGTTTTGTCAAGGAATGGTAACCCTTCTGCTCAAGGAAGGTGATGAGTTAATTATTTCCTGTCCGAGCTCGTTTATCTTGCTGAGAAGAAGCTCCTGCTCTGTCTCAAGCTGAACCATGTACTCTTTTTGAGTTTCATGCAGACTTTCGAGCTCACTTAATGATTTTGAAACTCCTTCAAAATCATCATCGTCTACCAACGACTGAAGCTTGATCATCATATCCTTCATCTGATCAAATCCAACATCGAATATGAGATATTATATTAGAAAAGAAGACTTGATCATCATTTACTAAGGGCCTATTTGGGATAACTTTTGCTTTTGCTTTTTGTAAAAAGAGCTTCAGGAGAAAGTCATATCGAGTCAACTTCCTCTAAAAATTCTTCTAATTAGACAGTATTTCCAGAAAACTACCCAAATAGGTCCAAAAGCAGCTTCTTAGTATTGAGAGAAGCTTTCGGCTTTTCAAAATCCATGCTAAACAGAGCACAAGATATGGTGATGGTAGTAACCTGATCAGAAATTAGATGGTGCATTTTAGCTGGGGATAATTTAGAGTCTGAGCTTGGTTTCTTCTCCAATTCAGGGATTTTTCGTGTAATTTGAATATGGATCTCGCCCCGTTTTACTCCTTGAAGTGGTATCCATTTGTCAGCCATCTGATTGGGAGGCAACATTTGATATTCGACTACACAATCCCCAATTTTTGATGTGGGCAATAGTGCGTTATGATCTTTTACATGCAACTCGAGGAGACTACCATCATCGGGAAATTCTAAAGTCTGATGCCATTTCGGATTCAGTGTTTTATATATAACCTGCAAGGTCATGCCAAAGTAAGTTGATGCCAAAAGAAGTGATAAACAAGAAAGCTGAAGAAAGGATATGCATTAGTTACACACGTCTAACCTTAGTACTTCTCTTCAAGTTTCCGTAGTGTACTCTCACATATGGATCACTTGTTCCTCTGAGATCAGCAGCAAAAAGATCTCTTGCTTCGATCAGAACAAGTTCAATCCAACCATTACCTGAACTTGCATGCGAACCCTGAAGAATGCCAAAACACACAAATAATCATTATAAAGATTTCACTAGCTTCCTATTGGACGGTGAACGACATTAAATCATAATGGAATCTTCCTATCAGTCTAAGCTCGGGGTCGGCTAAGTTTTAGAAGCAAAAAGTTTATACTTAATTTTTAAGCTTAGTGAAACACGCTCGAATGGATGCTTAAAAATTTCACATCCCAAATCATAATCGGGAGCTTTAAAATAAGCATACCTTATTTCCTTCATCGTCTTCAACTCTCACTGCTTCAATTTGAAGCTGCAGCTCTCCAGAATTCACTTTTTCGAGGGGAATATTGACATCTCTTATCGAACCTTCTATAAGACCTTCCAAATTAACTCGTGCACTACCAATGCTCTCGTCTCCAAATGTTTCTTCTTGGTAACACTTTATCTTTAAATATTCACCTCCTCCTATTTCATCAAATTCGAACTTCTGATTCCAGATTGGATTTGAAGTATATGAGACGATTTTGGTTCTTTTGGAAGCCTGCGAATAAATATATACATCAATGGAGTCGAAGTAGTTCGATTAAGTACATACATATTAGTGCTTCCATATATCCATATACAACATATATGACTGTTTACTACATTAACAGGTCTCACCAACATTTATTCAAATTAAAGGTATTGAACCAAAGTTTCATTCGATTAGAAATGATGGATGAAAATTTTAAATGACAGTAAGATGCACACAGAGGAAGAAAATGAGATATATATACCTTCCCATAATACAATTTAACGTAGGGACCAGATTTCCCAATTTTGTCCTTCACAATAAGGCCCTTCCCTTCAACGACAGTTATGCAAATTTTCCTCCCAGTTTTTGGGATAAAGTTTGATTCCTTGTATGGTGAATGCTGAGAGCTCAGATTGAAATTAGTCAAGCTGTGTGAACCATCTGCAAATTGCCACTCTTTCAATACAAGCTTCACCGTCAACTGCAAGGCGGTTTTAAACAAAGAAGGTTTGTTTATCGGCAAAATAGTATTTCAATATGGGTATGAATATATGATGCAAAAAGAGTTATACAACTCAGAATTTTTTTTGTTTACGTTATTCAGTTGCATTCGTAGAAGTTGTAATAAAAAGAAACAGCACCAATCTGGTGGCAAAGCAAGGTGATAGGTGTATGTGGCAGCCGTGGTTGCATAGTGATCATAGAAGTTGTGGATTTGTTCATTGCATCAGAGAAGGTTATCTTGGAGTGCATTAATAGGGGGGTTCGAGGCTTTGGTGTTGTGTGGTGGGTGTGCAGATTGGGCTGGAGGTGGTGCCATGGTGGTAATAAGAGACTATAGAAGACACAAAGACGTTCATGTGCATTTACAATCAGTGAAGCTTAAAATGCATTATGCCACTGGTGGAGCAGTAATGGAGGATCCAAGTACGAGAAGAGAGTCATGATAAATTACACTTTTGCTACTTGCATATAATAACAAGATATAAATTGTTGTATTCAACTAACTGATTGTTTTTGGATGTTATTAGACCTTATTAAGATCCATTTAATTTAATGGATTATTGAACAATCCAAAAAATCAATTAGTTTCCACCAATAACAATGGGTGAATTTGAATGGATATTACTACTAAGACATCCAAATATCAATTTCTTCAATTACGGCAGGAAAGGTGGTTCAGCACATTACAAGCCCTGACGCCTAATATCTCCCTGACCAGATTCATACGCACTTTCTATTTGATATCTTAACAGCTGCTGTCTTATTTACCAATATGGACGGTCTAAATTCAGAAAATAATATATAGAAAGGGAAAACGGACATTTAGATTTATATAGCCTCAGTGGTTAGCGATCCACAAGAAAATGGATAAAACATACCTCCCCTAAATTAACCCCCTCAAATGGAACAGTCATTTCAATTTCTTTTCCACATAACTCAGCACGCTCGGCAATCACGGTGGAATCAGCTCCCGTCGCCCAAAATATGGTTGAGTCATCCGGAGCATATCTCATCTGTATTGATTAGGTGGAAGAGATCATGTTAGAAAGTGTCGAAACAAGCTATCGCAATATCAAATGCTGGGAACCTAATCTTCTTCAGAAAAATAATCTATGATGTACCGTCTCTAAGGCAATAGGAAACATGAATTATACATACAATTGTTCAGTTTTTCCCTGCAGAACAAAGTTTTTGCATAATCCTTTACTAATAACTAAAACTTGTCGTGTCAAAATTGTATCAAACTGAAACCATCAAAACTCGAACATTCTAAATCACATTGCATAACCTCAAATTGGAGACAACTAGCACCGAAAGACTGTACCTTAATTTCACAGCTCGTAAGGTAGTCATATTTCACACTGGCAGGAGTACATTCATACAGATGGAATCTAAGAATTCCTGCATTGTCATGTAAGATCATATTGAATGTTGAGTCCCAAGTAGGATTAGATCCTGTTCTCACATCTGTTCTCCTCGTCAATTCTTCGAGTTCAATCTCCACAAATGTCTGCAGCTTTTTCTTCTCCAGTTGATCCTCTTCACAAGAATCTATGTCCGAACACTTTTGTCTTCTGGAGGGGCTGCCCTTCCAACTGCTCCTACAGATTTTTCTAGCAGAGAAAACTGTGATATATAGTACACCACCGACAGCTTTCTTTTGTAAGTCTGAGGCTGGCAAAGCAAGACACTGGCGGCGAGGTTCAACCATTCTCTTACTTAGCGTATCAGTGGCAAGTTTAACCTGCAAATGACATAAGTGAAAACAGGGAATGAATATTATGTGGATCAAATGCACGAAAAGAAGGAAAAATAAGGAACTCCACGATTAGTTAGATTCAGAACAAGTTTTATCACATTTGGAGTTAGTCACCTTTCCTATTTTGTATTAAAAAGTTGTTAAATTATTAAGAGTGTTGTCCATGGTCCATTATTTTTAGTCACTGTTTATCAACTCCCAAAACAGACCCCAAAACTCTCTTTAGCCACTTCCTTCACAAAATCATCCCTAAACACTGCCAAACTTTAGCCAGAAAATAAGTCCGCGAAAAGGAATTCCTCAAGGTAACTACTCTTTTCCCCTTCTTCGAAAATCGAAGATAAAGCTTGCTAGTGCTGCTCCAGAATAGGGACAAAAGTACTGTTTTATTTCATCAACTGTGTTGTCTCCAATATCAGTGATATCTAATTATAATGTGAGAAAGCAGTACAGATGAATTAAAATACAAATAAGAAATGTTGGTTGCTACTTAAAACTGAATATTTTTTAATTACGAAAATCCAAAACGTAATCAAACGAGGGCCATTACCAGCCATGATGAAACGCCCGGTAGTTCTGTTGCAGGTAGAGATTGGCTTCCGCCACTCCCGAAAGCAACACCAATTCTCACATCTGGAGTCGATACAAATGAGTACAGAATAGCTTTTCCATCTAGAATTGGCATCATAAGAAGCTGTAAAACAGAAGTTTGACATGATTATATCACAGCATAACAATTTCAAAGTTACGAAAAAGGATACAAACAACATGCAATAGTTCGAACTCAAATATGTGACAAATATATAGAACAGGAGTACATAAAATATTATCCTCATAGTTAAGTAGAATGAAGCTCTCTAATCTTTGGTTTTTCTGCTCAACTTATATCTAATAAACAATGCCTGCAGGGAAATCTCAGAGCTTTCAATATAACAAAATTTTGCAGCTCAAGAAATAGCACAAACAAGTGCATCATAAATAGTGAGAACCAAATAACTTTCTAAAAGGGGTAGTAATCTAGTGATGTACTCGGGCCTGGGGCAATAGTGAAACTGCAATAGTTAAATATTGGTAATAGAAGCTGCATTGACAGAACATTCAAAATAAAGAAAAGAAGGAATCAATTAGAGGTAGTACTTCTCATATATTGCCAATGATTCTTAATTTAGATTTCCTAAATTATAGTCATCACTATGAACAACAAGCACTTCCATGCAGAGTGGAGCTAAGTAGCAACTTAACAGTGAGAAACTAAATAGATAAACAAAATCCATATAATCAAAACTGATATCCCAAATATAAACATAATTTTATTAAAGTAATCAACATGAAGTATTGATGAGAGATGATATTTTCCCAAACATTAGTCCAAAAAAATAATGAGAAAATAAGATAAAATATGGTACATACATCACCCTTGACGTGGATGCTATTTACAACGATCCGAGCTGTTCCTGTTAATGGCTTTGCCATCTTAGCAGACAACATGATATTTATTTCCGTTGTGTTCCAGTCAAAACCCAAACGCATAATTTGCTGTTTTCATATGAAGTGTCAGTTATATATTTGTCCATGGAAATAAAAGAACGAGACAACGGATTTGAGGATCATATACGCACGATTATCATAGGAATTAGTGAAGTATTTAACGAGCTCAATCACAGATACAATCAGCATGATAGATAAATGAAAACAAGAAATGTAACACATTAACGTAATACGAAATAAACTAACAAATCTGCAGAAGGCACGAGATAAAAGCATTGGTTCTCCATTTTCAAAATGAATGAGAGTGAATATTAAATTTTGGTCACCATCACCTCCTACCCAAGTATAATAACGGATCCCATAGATATTTAACAACCAAGAACGGAGGCGAATAGCTAATAAACTGCTTTCTTATCAGATCTAGCATTGAAAGAGTGCTATCTACAAATTATACGTTGAGTCTGCACATGTATACTAAAATATTGTTACCTTAATCTGAAATTTTCGCTTTATCCTATCTTTATTATGAGGTGAATCATATTTCTACCTTTCTGTATCTAGAGTTAGTTTTGGAGAGATTTTTCCAAGTGAAAAATGATTTTTTTGGAGAATGTGTGGTTAAAAAATGGAGAAAGTTACGAGTCCCATAGAATGTGTGGTTGAAAATTACTTTGGAAAAAAAATGATTTCAAAAAATATCTTCCAAACAAACCCTTAGTTATCCAGTCTAGTGACTTCACTCAACGAGCTTCTTCTTTTCGAGATTTTTTCTTCTTTCAGATGTATGTGTATCTCTTAAAGCATATCATATCCATAACATATACACACATAAATGGAGCGATGTCTATTAGGCACTTTTCAGATAAAAAGAAGTATTACTCTATGTTTGGCAAAGCTTATAAGTGCTTAGTAGTTGGTCAAACTACATTTTATCCTCACATTCTATAGAACCCACAATTTATAAGCACTTAAAAGTACTAAATCTTTTTTGTTCAAAGTTCGAATATGTTGTTCAACTTGAAGAATGTGAACTAACACATCAAATTACAACAAACACAGAAACCAGACCTGATTGCCTGAAGTTGCCCAGCGAATTCCATGAAGTCCTAATATAGGAGGACGGGAACCTAGTGAAAATCCTTGTAACTCGATCTTCTCCTACAGAAATATTTGCATTTTATCAGTTATAATTTTAATATTTCAAAATTAACAGTGGGCAACAAATCTGTAAGATGATGTCGATGAAAAAGGAAAACTTACGATCAACATTGGTTTTCGATGCTTCAAGCGTCTCTGCACATTTAGAAGGGGAAGACAATAAAGCATTAGAGATAGAAGTAACAGCTCACTTTTATCCTCCAAGGTACGTAATTGTTCAAGAGAGAGATTAAAAATGATAAAACCCACATGCAAACAATGGTCTTGATAACTTTAGGAGATGGAACAAGTGTTTTGAGTTTTATTAGCTAAAAGGGAATTATGTTCTGCTATTAACGATCTTTAAAGACTAAAGTAAAACGAGTGGGTTTGATGCAAAGCGAATTCACAATATTGGTTATACTAGCATACTACGGAACGGCATTTATAGTACTCTATTTTAACCTAATTACAGCATGATGGATTTTCTAAAAATGTTACATCACAAGTGTATGTGTACACATCCATGAATATAGATCAGTAAAACCGGTCCATAAATGTAGGAGAACTGAATAGTTACCTCAACAATAGATGAGAATCTTGAAGAAAGCTTTGGGCTGATATAATTTGGCCATAAATCCAGCAATAACTTGTTCAACCATTCACACTGTTCTAAAGGGGTTACTTGCTGCATACACACAAGCAGAGCAAAGTGTTGACATCCAAATAAACAAAATATGCTTGAGTGTGTGTGAGAGAGAGAGAGAATTATATTTATATGTATTGTCAATGAGATTAGCGAAGATTACGCAATATTCATCTACCATAATTGCACACGTAACTGATTGTAAATTATTGTAATTGTACTTAGGATGTAATTTTCTATTTGACGGAAGAGACCCGAAATGGGAACGATATTTAGCCTAAATCTTTGACACGGTATCAAAGCCTACCTCTAGAATCCATAGCTGAATCTTTAACTTCCTTTGGTCTTGCTCCGATCAACAGTGTAATTGGAGATTCCGGCTTTGATTTCGCTTTGGGTTGATCAACTCCTTGTCGACAACTTTGGTTTGAGAATCTGGGTCGACCAATTTCAGGTCGGAGACTTGATCTCCTTGTGACCAGCATGGATTTTCAGCAGTTTCGATGTCACTGTGTTTGCATAGTTTTTTGTTCAATTATGGGATACCGTAGACCTGTTAGGTTGTAGTCAACTCGGTGGTACCATCAATCAGCCGACGATTTGCTGTGTCGACGAATTAATTTTGTCTGGTGAACGTGGATTTTGGTGTTCCTGAATTGGTGTAACTTGGGCTTTGATATTTCAAAGTATTTTATTGGGCTGTGAAGGTTAATTTCCAGTGGTGGGCTGTTTCACGTATAGGTCGTGCATGTGGTTGTGTGGACCAATTTTATATGGCGGATTTAAATTTGTGTGGGCTAATTTTTTTTGGCGGACTTTACTTTGCGTGGGTCAATTTTATTTGTGGGGCCGATTTCATTTGGTGGATTTTATTTTTTTGTGGGCCAATTTTATTTGGATTGTTCAGTAAGGCGATATGTCAGTGGAAGCACTTTGTGTTAAATTCACAGGAAAGAATTATTCCACATGGGAGTTCCAGTTTAAGATGTTTTTAAAAGGGATGAAGCTTTGGGATCGTATTGATGGGTCCTCTAAAGCACCTGAAGATGCCTAAGATCTCAGTGCATGGGAAATGAAGGATGCTCGTATTATTTCTTTATTTTTTGGGTGTATGGAGGCACACATGGTGAATAATTTACGCTCCTTCATGACTGCAAAGGGGATGTGGGAATATTTAAAGTGTATTTATTATCGGGACAATAATGTACGAAGATTTCAATTGGAGTTAGAGATTGCCAATTACACTCAAGGTAATCTTACTATTGAGCAATATTATTCTGGAGTTTTAAACTTGTGAAGTGAGTACTCCGCGTAAAGAGCAACGGCTGGCTACCCAGCTCGTATTGGTGCTGATTTCTCCACTTCTGAGGTGGCCAACGTTGCATATGCTGCCCAAGGACGGGGTAAGCGTAAACTTCAATGTTTTCGCTCCAAAAGATACGATCATATTGCTCGTAACTATCCTCAGAAAGTTTGAATCAACCTGTTTTTGCACAAAAAAATGGTACAACAGATGTTCTTTCCGCCTTATCTGCGTAGGGCTTACAAGGTAAAGGTCATGTTGTTTCTTCGTCTTGGTTTATTGATTCAAGGGCATCAAATCACATAACAGGTAGTTCTTATTCCTTACATAACCTCGACGCTATACTGGCATACAAAACATTCAGATTGCTAATGACAGTACTCTCCATATCACTGCTATTGGTGATATTGTATCTTTGATAATATTTTTGTCTCCGGGCTTATCTACAAACTTTATTTCAGTTAGTCAAATGGTTGATAATAACTATGATATGTACTTCTCTCGTATTGATTTTATTGTGCAGGATCAAGGGTCGGGAAAGGTAATCCCAAAGAGGCCTAAAATCGGAATATTGTTTCCATTACAGTTTACTATTCCTACTGTTGTCTTTAGCTTGTATTACTGTTGGACGTAATCATGAAATTTGGCATAAAAGATTAGGGCATCCACACACTTTAATTGTCTCATTTGTTGAAATGTGATTTTTTAGGTAATAAAGATTGTAATACTCATCCCACATCTCCTTTGCAATCTCAGTTCTTCAATTAATCTTGATTTTAATACTTGTAAACTTGGGAAAAGTAAGACTCTTTCATTTCCCACTCAAGGCAATCTTGCTGATAAATGCTTTGAAATTATTCGTAGTGACGTTTGGGGCATAACACCCGTAACTTCACATGCTCAGTATAAATATTTTGTGACTTTTATTGATGATTTCAGTTGTTACACTTGGATATAATTTCTTCGTTCTAAAAGTGAGGTATGTACTACTCTTAGAACTTTTGTAGCTTACATTGAGATACAGTTCTCTAGCCGCATTAGATTCTAAGGTTCGACAATGGAGGGGAATATATGTCTCGTGATTGTCAGACTTTCTTGCAACAAAAGGGTATTTTCTCTCAAAGCTCTTATCCATACACTCCTCAAAAGAATGTGGTCGTCGAAAGAAAGAATAGTCACTTACTAGATGTTGTTCGAGCATTACTTTTAGAATCCTTGGTTCTCCCTAGATTTTAGGTCGAAGCTCTCTCCACAGCCGTTACACCTGATTAATCGATTTCCTGCTCAACATTTAGACTTTGACTTGCCTCATTTTCCATATGGTACCCACCCTAGTTATGACATGTTACATACTTTTGGATGTGTTTGTTCCGTTCATCTGCCTCCTCATGAACATCATAAGCTTGCTGCTCGGTCTGTACGATGTGCTTTTATGGGTTAACAGTATTGCTCAGAAAGATTTTGCTTGTTATGATGGTATTGCTAATCTCTTTCGTATATCTCTGAATGTGGTTTTCTTTGAAAATCAATATTACTTCCAGCAACATGTTGTGGACTCTTCTAATTTAGCTTCACTCGTTAACTTTGAGGATAACTCTCAATCTATTAAATGTTTTAAACTCGGCGTGGTATATTAGAGACGAAGGCCCCCAGCCCCACCTCCCTTTCCCAACCCTAATCTAGTTCTAGACTCTGTTACACTCAAGCGATCTACTCGCATTACTCGCCCTCCTAATTGGTATGGTTACTCTACAACATTATCTCATATTATAGTTCATACTTCTTATTCTCAGTCAATTAACCAACCATGTTGGGAGAAAGCTATGCAAGAAGAACTTCAGGCTCTCCAAGAGAATCACGCATGGGATATTGTTCTTTATCCTTCTGGCATCAGACCTATTAGGTGCAAGTGATCTATTCTGTTAAATTCCGCTTTAATAGGTTGTTAGAGAGCTATAAAGCTCGTTGATGGCTTTTGGGAATTGTCAAGAATATGACGTGGATTATGAGGAGACCTTTGCTCTTGTTGCCAAAATGACAACGGGTCGGATTGTACTAACTATAGCTGCTTCCCGGGTATGGTCTTTACGACAGATGGATATCAAGAATGTTTTCTTAGATGACGACCTTAAAAAAGAGATCTATATGACACCCCATGCAGGCCTCTTTTTGTTGCCATCTTCTGATGTCTGTAAGCTAAAGCGCTCACTTTATGCGTCGAAGCAAGCTCTTTATACTTGGTTTGATAAGTTTCGATATACTCTTTTGGGTTTCTCATTTACCCAGAGTAAATATGATACATCACTCTTCATTTCTAACACCAAAGTGGGTACTGTACTTCTCTTGGTCTATGTAGATGATATTGTTATTATCGGGACTGACTCCATATTGATATCTCAACTTCAAAGGATTCTTTTCAAAAGAAAGATTTGGGTCACTTGCAGTATTTCTTAGGTCTTAAGGTGCTTTCAAGTCCAGACGGAACTTACATGCATCAGCACAAGTATATGAAAGAGTTGATTACTTTAGCTGGATTTCAGGATGGTCGCTCAATTGATACTCTTTTGGAGGTGAATGTAAAGTATTGTAAGGATGATGGCAATCTTCTTCCTAATCCCTCTCTATATCGCCAGCTAGTATGTAGTTTGAATAATTTCACTATTACTCGACCTAATATTTCTTTTGCCGTACAGCAAGTTTGTCGGTTTATGCATGCTCCACAACATTTGCACTAAGCTGCGATACGTCCCATTATTCGATACTTACTAGGTACACCTGATAGGAGGCTTTTCTTTCTTGCCAATTCGTCTCTTGAGTCGATAGGTTAAAGTGATGCAGATTGGGCGGGTTGTGCAGATACTCGTCTCTCGATTACGAGTTGGTGTATATTTCTTGAGGGTGCGCTTATTTATTGGCAAAGTAAGAAGTATGATCGTGTCTCTAAATCTTCTATTGAATCTGAGAATCGTGATATGTCTTGTTCATGTTTTGAGATTGTTTGGATACGTAGTCTTCTAGCAGAGCTTGATTGCCCTCAGCATAAATCTACCCCTATTTATGCTGACAACACTAGTGCCATTTAAATTGCTATCAATCCTAAGTTTCATGAGCGTACTAAACATATTGAATTGGATTGTCACTATATCCGAAGGCTTATAATGGTCGCGTTATTCCTCTTTCACATATCACGATGTTCAGATTGCTAATATCTTTACTAAGGCGATGACTAAACGGCGACATCAATTTCTTGTTCGCAATTCTTGAGCATCCAGCATCAATTTGGGGGGGGGGATCGCAATATTCATCTACCATAATTACACACATAATTGATTGTAAATTATTGCAATTATACTTACCATGTTTAGGATGTATGTCATTTTCTATTTAATGGAAGAGACCCCGAGACGGGAACGGTATTCAGCCTAAAACTTTGACATGTATATGATACAATGAACATGAGAGAACAATTACCGAATTCTGTAGCATCACTTGCATCCATTTCTTATTCAAATCTTCCACTAAATTTCGACGTTGATAACTTCCATACTGAACAAGAAAGAAAATCCACATCTCATGTTACAGGTATCAGAGTTATCCTTTCATTCTACTCAAAGTATGCAGCCCCATCAAAAGAAGGAATTTAAAATAGGAAAATACGTGATGAAACAAATGATGGCACTGGCATGCATTTTTCAGTTTTAGGCTACTCATGCTCACAACTACCTTATTTTCTGTCTAAATTTGAAACAGAAAAACACAATATCCTCTACAAATGTTATCTTTCACAGATGTTATTCAGTTCCCTCATTTTGATCTTTCAAAGAACATTCAATAGAGAATGTCTTTAGCCGCATACTTTATTCAGTTTCCTCAATAAATTTGGGGAATAAAACTTATGCGCACATTAAAGATTGTGAAACCACGAGATGAATGAATATTTTTATAGGAACGTGAAATTAAAATTTTGGGCACAAGAAAAATGTTTTGGACTGTAATAGCACATGTTTGTCAACCATTATTTCATAACTCTTTTTTCTAAAGCTCATTTTCTCAAACTCAAACTCATTTTGGCAAAATATTTTGCCCATATACCAAAAAAAATTTCCTACCTTTCAAGAACACGTTTTTTAAAAATTCACTGCTCCAAAACTCATTTTCCTACTTTAATGGTAGACAAACAAGGGCTAAGTATCAAAGATATTAGTACCACATTTTCATTGCCTTTTGAATAGGAAAAGAATAATCTTTATTCCCAAACAATATCAAATCAACTGCATGAATAATTTTTTGCCTGTCAAGTTGATTATAGCCACATTAACTGATCAACCTAATAAAATCATTTTATTGCTAGACTCTTGAGCTATTAAACCCAAAATATAAGTAAGGAAATCAATGAAATCAATTTATTTGAGTTTTCAGATTTAATGACTAAGCTGTCAAATTTCAATTCCACTTGAAAGTACTGCAATATTCGAAATTTTGGTATTTAAAATAGGTTGTACAGTATTTACAAGATCAGAGGACGACAAAACAGCATAAAAATATGAAATTTATGATGTAACTAAATTAAGAGAACATAAGTGGAACAAAGCATATCGTTTCAAGTGTGTATAACTTGTTTGACAATATTCCACAAAGAGTAAGATTTACTGTGTTTGCATTTCCAGCAAGGAATAGGCACAAGAATGATCGAGAAAATTTCGAAAGGGTTCTTGAAATTACCTGAATAGTAACCCATACAGAAAGAGCAAGAGCAACCCAATTTGAAAGAGAAAAGAACCACTTCTCAATTGCCCAAAAAACTAACAAAACTGGAATTACCAAAGGAAGTAGAGGTTTTTCAACCCACAATTTGTTCAAGAATTCCACTGCATCATTAAAGTCAAAGTTTCTCTTCTTTATCCTACCCATCTAAATACAATCTATTAAACTAAAAGGAGCAAAAATCACTTAAATTCACTTTCTTGAAACCAGCTCGACTTGCCAAATCATGGCTTCTTCACACACTCATAGGGAGTAAAATATCAAAAATCAAGAGAAACCCAGAAGCAGAATCGATCCCTTTCCCTCAATTAATGAAGAATAAGCAATTATTACAAAAATAATCACTTGACAGTTGAAGAATATGAGGGAATTCTTGCAGTGTTCTTATTTGGCAGGCGGAGAGAAGTCTGAGTCAACGATAAATTTAGTTAAGAACAAGAGAGTCTTGCTACTCCTATCTTGGTACACAATCTTGTACACGTCCCCGTCACATTAGGGTGGGGCCCGCGTCAATTTAGTTAAGAACAAGAGAGTCATGCTACTTTTATCCTTTGTACACAATCTTGTACACATCCCCCTCACATAAGGGTGGGGCCCGCTACACATCCCCCTCACACGAGGGTGGGGCCCGTACCCTCGTGTGAGGGGATGTGTACAAGATTGTGTACCAAGGATATACACTTATCATTAGTGTCCGCGTAGCGGGCCCCACCCTCGTGTGAGGGGGATGTGTACAAGATTGTGTACCAAGGATATACACTTATCATTAGTGTCCACGGGCCCCACCCTCATGTTAGGGGGATGTGTACAAGATTGTGTACCAAGGATATACACTTATCATTAGTGTCACCCTCATGTGAGGGGGATGTGTACAAGATTGTGTACCAAGAATATACATTTATCATTAGTGTAAGAACAAAGCAAAAAGGGGCAAGAGGATATTAAAATTTGTCAGTATATTTTCCTACATTTACAGGTGGATAAAAAAATAAAAAAGAATTCCGTACCTAGATATATGTTAATCCGCAGTACAGGTGGATGCAAATAAGTTGAAGACTATCTTGTAGGAGATATTATACCGATAATGTGCATATTATATTGATCAAGAGCATGCCGTTAATATGCGTGAAATCGAAACATCATTTGACTTACCGAAATCTGATTTGAGAAGATAAAACAACGATTTACCGATTTCGAATGTGCATGAATCTGGAAAGAAAGNTCACTTCCCAATATGAGTGAACGCATGTTATTCTTCAATTCAAACCTTTCAATAAAACACATAAATAAATTAACCATATTCTGAAATCAAGCATAAATAAAATCAGAAATGGGAAAGATGAAATGCAAGTGATGCGATCGGTCGAGGCAAGTGTTTGACACTTTTTCCTTAAAATGAATTTGCCCCGCATCGGTGCTAACGGCTTCTCGGCAATCATCTCCCAAGATACAACGACCACGTCAAGTCATAGGAGCACTCCAAATGACTTAGACCAACGAACTCGAACGGATTTCCCTCTCTACCATAACCATGATTTTGATGCAAGAGAACACCACTTCTATAAAGTGTTTTATGCAAAACTAAAGTAACCATAATGTGAAACTATCAAATAAATTGTTTGTTGTGTAGTTAATCCAAACACATAGGGAATCCATATATATAGTAGTTGGAACAT